GATGGCTCAGCCTTTCACCCCAAAAGGCAAATGTTTTCTAGATGTTAACTCAGGTTTTGAATACTCTAAATCTCAGTTTGAATAACTTTCTCTGGATTATTCAGCAACTTCCATGATGGGCAGAAGGGAGAGACAATTTCTTGCAAAAATGAGCAGAAACACAGAAATGTGTTAGTGAGCTGAATGTTCATTTGACATCAGTCAAAGTCAGAGAGAAGGACAATCCCTTTCTAATAATGTCACTCAATATTTAGCCTACCTACATTTGTATTAATAATAAAGCCCTCAGGCAGTGAGTTATGTGCAGCCACTGCTCTGCTCAAAAGAGCACTGCAGTATTGACACATACTGGTTTGAAGACAAATAAAATCTAAACTGTATTTATATCCACCAGATTCTGACCTCTGACAAACAAGCAAATATAACTGCACAGCCAGGTTAATGCTACCTTTGAGCCTCCCCAATCCAGAATGAAGCTAGCAGTGGATTGGTTAATGCAGATTTATTTTAAAATTTTTGGTTTTATACATTTATATCTCTGTGTGTATGTTGTGGGACACTTTCCAACTGCCTCTCTTTAAGATTTTTGTGTTAATGTCTCTTTTAAAAGCAAGAGGGATGTGGTATACTTGCAAACCCAGAGATAAATACCATCTGTTTAGTTAACCTCACTGAGAACATTGGTGGAATGTTGTTCTTTTTTTAAAATACATATACAATAGCAATTCAGAGACTTGAATTGCAGGTCCTTCAAAAGCAATTGACTAACAGACTTTATTTTATAATGCTACAAAACATGAATGTGTTTTTTAATTAGAGACACTGTGAACTAGGCTTTCTACTTCAAAGCAAGAGATTTTCTAGCATCCTCTTTGGGGAGGAAAAAAACCAAACAACAATCAATCCAAAAAACCTTCTGCACAATTACTATGGAGCAGCATTTCCCAGTCCCTATTTTGGCTTTCTCCTGGCTGTTGCTCTGCAGTTTTCTGTAATTAATATAGATTAAAAAATTTGGCAATGCAGAATTAGGCGGTGTAATTTGTATTCAGAGCCAAAAAAGACTTGCGTATCACCAAAACAATTGAGTTTATTGTTACCAAAAAATTGTTTCAGGAAATCTCACTTCTGTCTCTGAATGTAAACCAGAACTCAGCATGAAGCAGAGAATAACACAGACAGGTTTTTTTGCCAACGAACAGGAGCTATGCAAGTGTCAGGGCTGGCTGATTGCTTGGGCAGAGAATTTTGGAGAGCTGTAGGAGCATGCTTGGAAAATGGTTAGGATCACCTTTCAAAATCCCTTTCTTATGCAGCTTAGACCCTCTGTTGCTTTAATGGCACAGTGGAAATGCATCTCTAAGAAAACTCCAAACAGGAAGGTGTCAAATTTTCCCCCTCTAACATGTCCACCATAGGCCTGCGTTGAAGGTGCCAAACCATTCAGCTGCTTATCAGGGCACCATTTAAAATGTCTCTCCATAACCCATTTAACTGAAATTATTCTATAAATGCCATTAAAAGCAGATAACCCCACTTATCTGGGCATCACTAGACCTTACTAACATTCTTACTGAAAGTTAACCCAAGTGCCAAAGTGTGATGGGCACAGTTTGTTTAACACCTCACATCCAGAACAGTAGAGAGAGAACTTGGTTTCTTCATGAGGACACTGGTCCTCTCTGTAATGAGAAGATATTGATGCTACAAGGCATCATTCTTTATTAATAGGATAATATATACATGTGGAAGAAGGGCAGTGTGACATGATGACTCACGTTTGTGCACTTTCTAGGCAGACCCCAGTACTAACTTACCATTTGGCCTTTGTCCAGTAAAAGTAGCCCTGTTGCCATTATCTCTCAACCCAGAGGAAAATTGCCAAAGGAAGCCAAAACTACCTCGCCCTTAAATCAACAAAACAAAACCTAAGAATCAAACCCACAGATGATGCACACTGAAAAATCCATCTGGTCATCCGTAGCTGGCTGCTTAGTGATGTCAAACACTGCTTGGTTTCATCTGTCCCAGGAGAGGCTGCTCAGCAAGTTTGTCATGGAGCTGTACCTCTTGAATGGAGGCTTTACTGCTGTTCCTCCCCCTCCCCCTCCTCTTTCACAGCACTAGGCGGTGTGGCAGCACAGAGAAGGGAAAGCAGGTAGAAGGAAAGTCCAACACTAACTCACACTGGCAAACATTTTGACTGCTTTTGTGCATCACATACTCCAAACGCATCTTTGAAATGGTTAAACACTTAAGAGATGGCACTGCAAGAGCTGAAGAATCTGCAGCCCTTTATGCACAGGACTGTAATAGCAGCAGAATGACTCCAAGCAACCTCCATAGCTGGCCCAGGAACCCAAGCTGAGCTGTTGGATGCTGCCAAACAGAATCTACTGCCTTCCCTTCCCACCTCCTAAAACACAGATCATCTGAGTAGCAAACGATGCCAGGACAGCTAAACATCTCCTGCTTGCATCACCCCATGCAACTCTAGCCTCTTGTGGAGCTGCCAAAGCACGATGATGATTGAACTGGAAAAGTGTTTTCAGCCCTAAATGAGCAGCCCTTTCACCTTTGATTATGTGCATCTCTACCACTCCCATCTTTCCTTCTTGCATCCTGCCCCCAAACCTTGCTTCCCCTCTCTGAGGCAACAGCAATCGAAACTGTCTGGCCTTAAAATGGTGGGAGGCTCTGCCCTGCCCTTTGCTGTGCAGCAGTTTTTTCATGGATGAGTGTGATTGCTCTTCACTCATAATATATGCATTTAAGTCTCAGTTTGAATATGAGTAAATGTTGAGATAATTTTCCTGGTTTCTAGTCATCAAAATGAGGAAGGGCATCATGAAAGCTTGTTTATCCACCTTCTCCTTCCCCTTGCAGCACACACTGCATTTCCCGAAATATCCTCCCCCAGACCCTTTTGTCTTCAAAGCCTTTGCAGCTCTTCTGCTCCCTTTGTGTGAAAATAGGAGCGAGCCCTTTCTTTTTGGCCTGGCAGGATGAAGGGGTGGGATGGGTGTGGAGGCGTGTTTGTGTGCCAGAGAGTGAACAAGCATGAATAGGGCCAGCTGGCCACTCTTGTGCCCATCTTTCCATCATTTCCCTCTGATATTGCCTGCTCATTGTAATTTTGCAGGCCACATTCACTAACACAAAAAGACTAGGGAGCAAGCAAATGAACAGATATTTAAAGGGAAAAGCTTTATTTCTTAATTTTCTTAGATCATAGTAGACTGTAAAACAACAGGGAAAAATGAGATCAACCTTGTTTTCCTTTTCCTTGTTTTCCTTTTTCTTTTTTTTTTTTTTTTTTGCCAGTCAAGCTTCCTTTTTTTTCTTTTTCTTTTTTTTCTTTTTTTTTTTTTTTGGTACAAATCAAAAACAGAAAAAAACCCAAAAATTGTTCTCACAAAAACATGCTTTTTAATAAAAAAAGAGAATAATGTTTATTGAGAGGGATTGTTTTCTGGATATGTACAATGCAGGAGGATTATGCCAACAGAAAACGCCAAACATCGTGAGTCGACTTCCAAGGTGTGGACAGTCCAAAGAGCAATGTCCTCAGAGCAATGTCTAAGTAAGTCAATGGGAACAAGTTAACAGTGGTTTTGTTTTTTGACAACAAATTACCAGCCATTATGATTGAAAACCTGACACATAATAACTTGCAGTGAGATATACAGAAATCCATAAGATGACATACAATTTATACGAGAAGGTAACTCTTTTTGTAAGAATCTCCTCTAGAAAATTTAAGCATGTTCTAGACAGTTTTTGAAAAAAGAAAAAGAAAAAAAAAGACCAAAAAAAAGGCAGGAAAATACTACCATTGGAATATCCTCAGATCACACTGAATGCCAGTCTTCCTGGGTCCTAATACTACCTGTTACCCTAACTTGCATCCTTTCTTCTTACCCTCAATTAATCCTTTTATCACCATGATGTAAGGAAAATTACTTTTAATGTGAGCCTTCCCCTGCTATTTCCTTTTTGCTGCAGCTCTTGTCAACTTGCACTTTGCACAAGAAGTACAAAATTTGACATACCCTCAGGTGAAAGACATATACACCTTCCCAGTCTGAGCAGTACTGATCACAGCTAATCATTTCAGTCCTAATGCTACACATAAAATCATACAAACCCTGTTAAGCAAGTTCAGTGGCAGTAACTTGAGGGGAAGGGAAAACATGGAGATTAATAATTGCCACCAGTTAAGTTTACCATGTGTTGCAGTCCTTTGAAGAAATTTCTTCCACTCCTGCCTTTTGGATTTCCTTTTTGTTCTTACCATGAAACAATGGGTACTGGGAAGAGGTAAAGGACTGATGGTAATGCACCACTTCTACTGTGACCCTCCCAGAGAAGCAGCAATATAAAATTCAAGACCATATTTTTTATTTCAATTTTTACCTCCACTTGTTTTTCTGTATAAGCAATGTGTGACTCAGCTCAGTCTGGGCTGTGCACTCCCAACTGCCAGATGCAATTCATTGTAGGGCTTTAATCCATCTCTAACAATCGTCACGAACACTCTTCCTGAATTAACTTTCACTTAAGGGTTAAAACCCTTGTCCCATCCCAAAGCATGCAGAGGACATCATTACTAATAATCAAGTCTGGGGATGTGAAAGGGAGACCAAGTGCTCCCTGCATTTTGGTTAGCATACTCCCAGAAGAATTCCCTCAGCTCTCAAAAGGGGGAAGAGTTTCCATGGGCCAGTTCACAAAGTCAAAGAAGTATGATTTCTCTGTCTTACCCTCAGTGGGACACATATTTCCATGTCTCAGGAGTGTGCTTTCTGCGGTATCTCCTGCTAAAATAAATGGTGGTTCCCTAAACAGTATTTTTTGCATCTTCAGGCTTTCTACTGTTTTTGACAAAAGCTTCCTTCTGTCATATATATCCTATCGCATAAACATTACCAGGAGAGGACGATCATGTTTTCAATTTATTTTGAAAATTACTTCAGAGTTTCAGTGGACTTTCCGGTTTCTATGCTTAAAGGAGTTTATATCACCCCATTGTTCAGTAAATCGATGGGGATTAGCTTTTGCAGCATTTAAGCTTTGACCGAAGGACAAGAGCAGTGGTCAAAATCAACATTATTCAGTGCAGACCAGCTGAAAAGCTGGAGCTAGCAAGCCTGGCATGACTTATTTGTTGGCCTGTAGTTCCAACAGGTTTATTAGGGTGTGTACATGAGCTCCACCCCAGCTGGACAGGTCTGGCTGATGAAGGAGACACAAAGGCTTGGTACACACCAGCCAGTGCCGATGTACAGCGTGTTACCAGTGCATCTGTGGTCAGCCAGAAGAATGCTGCTGCCTGTTAGTGCCTGCTGTGATCCTGCTTTTATGCAACTGGCCAGTAAATGTGGGCTGAGATTACTGACCCGAGATGGACTACAGTTACTGAGACTGACACCAAGACCTGGGTGGCATCAGTCAGCCATTTCCAGTTCTTTGGTGTTTCCAAGCAGATTGAGCAAATGAAATCAGAAAAGGCTGGAGGGGACATCCATTTGCAGAATAAGAGGCTTGAAGAGTCTTGAAAACATACACAGCCTCCTTTACTAGAAGCTGAATCCCCCAAACTCTTGCTCAGTTTGCTAAGAACTGAACATGCTGAGCAGGGGGTATTCAGTGTTTGGAGGACAGGAGTTTGTAAGAAGTCAGTAATTATGGTATTTTGGAAGGAGGAATTTGAAGAAAATTGCCTTTAAATCTATGACTAATTTTCTTCTGGATTCTAGGCAATTCTCCTTTTGACAGATTAAAAAGCAGTGCAAAAGAATTAGTGTGCTGGCATCACTAAAAGCAGGGGAAAAGGAGCTAACGTTTGGCTGCTTTAATCTAGGCAGCAATTAGCTCTAATTCTATGCACGGCAACTGCTATTGGCACCTGAAAAAGGTAAAACAGCAGAAACTGGTTTAACTCTGGTTAAATGTGCTCAGCGAACTTCTGGGAGTACTCTAGATAGTACTAATAGAGAACACCACTATCTCTACCGATAAGAAATGCTACTGAGAAATTTGTTGACTCTATGCTCTTTTAAACTTCAGGTAATCTTTAGGCCACATCTTGAATTTGTTGCTCATGCTTTTATGTAAGATAAAAAGAGATGGAACATCTAAGTAGGAGTTTCAGGAGTTAGCTTCCAGCTATTGAGGTGACCATAGCTAATATGTATCTATTAAGTGTAACCACTGCCTGCAGGCAAACACACTCATAAGAGAACATGAAACAAGGGTGTATGAGAGTTGAGATAATATTGAATCAAAAATGGGAATTCACCATCCTCTCTAATTTTACCTTAAAAATGGAGCCATCACAATTTCCAAAGAGACTTCTTTCTCTTAAAAAAAACTACTACTTAGTGAGACTTTATCTATTTGACTGAAATTCCAACTGGAAAATACATTAGAAGTACTTAAATATTTCTAATAGCTTGTGAGAGTGTGAAAGTTTTCAATCCTATTCAGTACCAAACTAAATTTTAAATTCCATCCGGGGAATAGCGACATCATGTTTTCGTTTATTCAAGTCAAATCAGTGCTGAAAAGATAAAATAGGAACTTGCAGTTTCCTCCCCTTTAAAGGTGTTCTTAGTTCCATAGACCCAGATTCCTGATCATATTTTTTTTTCTCAAAAGCGAAGGCTGTAATTAAAAAAGAAAACCCACTGAAGCAAATGTATAAAGTGGAATACTGTAGAGTTGGACAAAATTACCTTCCCAAGTTAAAGGAGAAGCTGAAATACTCAATAATTGAAATGTCATAGAAGGAACGAGCTGCTAAGAAAAAGCAAATATTTAAAGATAAGAAATATTGAACAAGTCACTGGATTAATTTCTCTGCCAAGTTCATCAGAAGTAAATATATTTCTATTTGATGTCAGGGACGTCAGGTAGACTCTGAGTAACCTTATGGGCATAAAACAACCTTGGAGACCTCTTTAGCCCAGAACAGCTCTAATACAGAACATGCAGAACGCAGAACAATTTAACACAGAAAGAGAGAATGTCAGTGAACATATATTTTTCAGTGAGGTAGATCCACCTTGGTGTTGATGACAAAGAATTACATTTTATGAATGTTATAACTGTTGTATGAATAACTGCTCGTGCTTCCATCTTTTACTGCTTGCTCTGAAAGAGCTCCTGTTCTAGCAGAATCCAGGTCTTTTATTACAAGCTAAGTATGGGATACTCATGTCACTTGACATACACAAGATTTACCTCCCTTCAGGGAGCTGTTCTGAGTTTTGCTCTTCTCCTTCACTGGTTTCTCATCGCCTTTACTCCACAGAAATATCATACTGATTAAGCAACAATTACAAATTTTAATGGGGATTGAGATTTCAAGGTGATTCCTGATCTGTTTTCTTCATCTCCAGCCTAATTGCATAGGCTTAGTAAAGGTGTACACTTTTGTATTTTCAGTCTACTAATTAAAACAGCAAAAAATTGTGAACGGCCTCATATTCCAAAGGCTGGGCCTTAGAGGGACACAATTTTATTTAAAAAAAAATAAGCCTGTGAATAGGTCGCCCGACAATCTGTCTATGCAATGCTTTGAAATTATTAACAATTCCACTTCCACCTAATTCATCCTAATGACACAGTGGGAATGAAGCTGCGCAATGAAAAGTGGCCAGTGCCCTGCAGAAGACAGATGGATGGCTCCTGCTCAGTCCTCAGCACCACATATCCATTCTCTTGAAGGATCTCAGGGAGCCAAGTCAGTGAAAGGAGAGCTGCACCCCTCCTTACTGACCAAACCACTGCACGGACAATCCTCAGGACTGCTGCCTGCTGGTGGGTGTCACCACACACACTGGGGCAAGGGAAACCCTCAACTGCTGTTATTGTTGCTCATATCTAAAAGATTCACCTTCAGTGCCTCTTTCACTGGACTAGCTTGTGGAATTAATAATTATGTTGAATACTGTAAAACCTTAGCCATGTATTTCAGTTCAGTCTGAATTTTACCTTTATAAAATTTTCCTTGTGAGCTACTCTCAAAAAGAAACATAAACATGCTTTTAATAATACTAATGACAATGTCTGTGCCACTATGACATTGATGAAATTAAATGAAAAAGATGATTTTGATATGTTTTCAGTAGCCCATGATTTACACCCAAGTGAAACTGGTTAGATTTACAACTGAATCAGCAGGTCACCCCTATGCACATCCTGTATTTGGACAGTTCCTGTCTTATTGTTACATGGATAACATTAATCTTTTAAAGGAATATATAAAGCCCAGACTAAGCTTGTTCATTTGAAAACTTAACATATGGCATTTTAATGACTGAAAGGGGAAAAAAATGAAAAAGTATTTGCATACTTCAGTACAGTAGTAAATGACTGCACAGATGAGGTCACCATGATAAACTGATATCATCCACACCACATCCTCCAATATTTGCATGGTGATGCCTGTAAAAACTTTTGTATGAAGTATCAGACTCCTAAGGGGTTTTTTCTCTTCTGCCTGTTTAATAAGCTGCTTTTTTTTTTTTTTTTAAGAATTCAGTATGCTTTTAATTTACAGGAGAAAAAGCTTCAGTGTTCTGTTGGGCTTTTTTTGTGATAACATGGCTACCCACATAAAACACCATTTTTTCCCCTACTATATATGAATGGTATTTCCAAAGGTAACTCTCGTTGACTCAGATAGTTAGCAGTTTCTTTTGAAATAAGAAACTAGTAAGTTGTTATTTACAGTATATGTGACCAACAGCTTTTATTCTGGATCACACAGTGCCAGAACTCTAATAACTGGTATTAAATATAACAGATAATTGAAATCAAACCAAATGTAAAAATCTTCAAAAAATACACGCTATACTTGGAGAATATTAAAATTCCCGATACTGCCTAAAATGTTTAATGTGCTGAATACAAACCATATTTTAAAGAAAGCTTTGGGAATCAAAGATGGGTTTAGTAATTGTAATGTTTATGAATTTGTTTTGAAAATATTTTTAATTGGATAATGTCAGACTTTTGAATTCTAGTACAATGTTCATTAGCATTTCAATAGATTATACTATCAACTCCTTTTGACGTAAACGAATTTGATTCATTTTTTAAATCATGAATCTCGTAATCTTTTTTCTGCTACCACTAGTTTTCAATAATTTCATTCTCTTCTACAAGAAGAGCAACAGGAACCACATGGGCTTTGCTGGCAGTGATGGGCTATATATCTCTTCTCTGAAAGCAGCTCCGTTCCCTTTGAAAGTAATTTGCAGTTTCTTACCAACACAGAATTAAAGAGTAATATTGTCTAATTTTTCATGTTCAGTGACACAGAGTATCATAGAATTCTATCCCATACACATCGCTTTGAGATGTATATTACGTGACCATAATCAAAAGTACATAAATGAATTTCAAATTTTATGAAAGTGTTTATTATTAGCTAAGAAAAAATCTCAAAAGATGAACGTGTCAATAAGTTTAATAATCTCTTAGTAAGATGTGTATTTTGCACACTCCAAAACTTCAGTGCAGTTTATAAAACAGTAATTTGTACTTTATAGTTCTATTGCAAATAAGTGATCTGGACATTTCAGAGCAGGACAGGCCATAACTGTGTAAGTCTCAACGTAAATCCGTACATTCAACATGATGAACTCCTTGCTTGAGAAGGTATCTTCTACTTCCAGTAGAAACAAAAGCTGATTACTGCTGATCACTTAGACATAACTGCTTGTAACAGTCAACAAGCCATCACAGTAAGGTATAAAGACAGCCCTTAGGAGAAATGCTGACTATTTCCTGACATTTAAAGCTTTAAAGAATTCCTTCTAGATACTGTAGGAAATCATCATGAGCCAGCACGGGCTGCCAGTGTCACTGAGTTAGAACCGAGATTAAATCATGTATATTGGCAATATTGCCATCTGAACCACCAAATTAATTTATGGGACTGGTCTTGCAAACAGTTCATCATGTCAGCAATGCCAAGGTCTGCAGTAGGAACTACCACAGTGAGAAAATCATGTGTGTGCATGGCGCTGCCTTGTAACTGGGTCAACCATTTTTTGTGTTGATTGTAGCAGTGTAAGAAATAAACCACAATTTAAATAATATCCTACTTCCTCTTGTCCTTCTACAATGTTTTGATAAGAGAAGTAAGGCATGAAGTTCCTGTAACTTTTTGATCTGACATTATCAAGTATGTATAAACAGATAACATTTTAGTAGAGCAAATAAATTGTATGTCATTTTTTTATTAAACAAACAGTATAATAACTGGACTATATTATCACAATGGAAGCATAGAAGACCATAGACTGTACAGCTGAAACCCTGTAGCAAAATTGTTCCTCATATTTAAAGAAATGTATCTTTATCAAGCTTTCACAATGGCTGCTTCTTGCTAATTTAAAGAATCTTCACTCTTGTTAAGGCTAGATGATTATAATTAAAAGATAAATGTACTGTTAGAAGGTTCTACGCCACACTCTATTTTTATGAGAATTTAACTGAAAGACATACATTATACCTGTATGTGAATTATAATGGCTTCTCAGCAGGGAACGCAGAATCACTTACAGTACGTAAACATTTAAAGAGGAAAATGCTAACACACTGAAAGAGTTTAACATCAGTAGCGATTTATCAAATGAAGAAGTTTCATAAAGTCCACTCTCTGGGAGAACATTCACCATTAGACAAAAGCCTGGCATCCTTGATAGTCTGAAGTTCAACCACTTTGAAAACCAAAACCATTCAATGAGATAAACAAGATCTTAAGAAAACTGCCATCTTCCTTCTCAGATAAAAGCCAGAATTAAAATAATAATTATTAAAATAATCCAACCAGGTCGCTTTACAGGCAAATTTACACACTGTCTCTTTAAAACACTGCATGCCCAAAAGCCTTTTGGGTTTGGAATGTAGCACTGCACCAAGTATTTCACAAAGCCTCTAAATATCACAAGAAGCTTTTTTTAGAGAGAAAAAAAAGTAAAATTCCAGCTGACTGAGACTGTTCTAACAGGTGTGCCTCAGCTTAGCTCCCAGACCTGGAATTCCAGATAAACAACAGAGGACAGCAAACAGATTTTTTTTTTACACGTCCTTTTGTAATGTAATGCAGCTACAAGACGACTGATGAGCTTAGGGACAAACAGAGTGAGAGTGCAAGTGTCATCAGGGTGAGCTGTGTGCTTAGATAGAAGCTTGTAGGAAGAGCGAGTGAATTCTCCGCAGATATGTGACTGGTGGAGACTCCTGCTGTGTTGTCCTTCCCAATAGCATTCTGTAAGACACAATACTTTCCTTGGTCACCATTACACATTTCCACTGCAAAACATTTAAATCTACATCATGAAATTCACCTTTTGTTTGTTCATGTCCCACCCTCCACTGATACCTATATATATCAATGTCACAAATTGAAAGGCATTAAAACAGATGTCAAAATGACAATTTTTTGAAATTTAAAAAAATTACTACTTTAGCAATGTTTCAATGTATAAAATGCATGGCAATTTTTTGTGAATCTGTGTTTATCATGCTAGTTTATTTTAAAATAGCAGAAGTAAGACCCACAGAGAAACTTCAACTTCTGCACAGTCAACAAAAGAACTCTGTTTGACAACAAGTTACTTCTGGATGACAATAAATAAAATCTAATTCATGGGCTCAGAAAGACTGTTTTCTAGCTTACAAAAATTTTCTTTTTCCCCTTAATTGCTGCATTATTTGCATTCCTTGGCATCTTTGCTACCAATAATTAAACAGTATGCACATGCCAGTACAGATTGGCAGATTATAGTGAACTACTTAAGGAGCAGATGTAGCAGAAATATTTCCCATTGCTATCATCCTCAGTAAAAAAGAAAACCTAACAGGTATAGTCACAGAAGTGGAACAATTTAGACTAAAGGGACCTCTAAGATCATGAAGTCCAACCTGTTCCATGTGAAGTGGCTCAGATCCTGTCCACTCAGGATGTGAAAATCCCCAAGGATGCAGCTTCTAAAGAGGGGACGAGCCTCTCCAACCCTGGAGAAGCAATGGGCAATGGTACAAGGGACAAGTACCCAGAAGACCAGATACAAAGAAGGAGTTCAAAGCATCAGTTTCCACAGGAATGACTGTCTACAGAGCAGGGGAGGTACTCATGGATAAATCTCCATGCCATTCCCTCACCTGGGTATCACTTGCTAGGACTGGCTAACTGGAACACCTTGAGATGCAATATTTTGGAAGTTGTAGAGGTATTGGGGAATTATCACAATATGCTTTCTTTTACTCATCCCTGGGCATCTCCTTTTTGGAAACTGTTGGGGACAGGGTATGGCATGAGATGGACCAGCAGTTCTCATAGTTAGCTACAGTTACTTGAGCTTTCTCATCTAAGGTCTTTTAGCCAGCACAAGATGCCAACAGATGTGTTAACATTACTGCACTGTTCCTGTACATGTTACTAGGCTTCATTCTAGTACCTACAGGAAATTCTTAAGAGAACCTAATGAATTAGGAATGAGCTATAGAATTTCCATTGTGTAGAAGAACTGAGCAAATTTGGACTGGAGAAGAAGAACCTGAAAGATACTGTCACATCCTTTTGGTGGCTTATGGCTGTACAGCTGGTATTGTTCCAAAGCCTAGGCTATGTGTTTCCACACTGTAAAGATTATGTACATCACTAATTATTAAGCTTCCGGAGAGACTAGATACAAAGGATATGGACTGACAGACATGGAAACTGATGTAATGCTTATGTCTGAGAGGGGTCTTTGAGGTCAGGCTGAGCAGACTACTCCACCAGCAATGGGAGTTTCAAGTCTTGAGTCTGTCAATCTGTTCCCTGGTGTATAAGCATCACATCTCCTGATATGAATATCATTTCATTCCCTAAATTGGTCATTTGTTTTAACCACAGAATGATGACCAGTTTGTTTCTGATTATTTGCTAAAACCCATCTGATCTTGCGCTCCTGCAGATGATTAAACAAGTACACTTGCTAGGTGCAATGGTTATTATTATGGGATCTGACTACATGTGCACTATACAGCTATTAAAATATAAAAGTCAGCAGAGGACACTTTGAGCCCAGTTCTGAACTTCTGAGTAAGGTTGTTCTTTAATACATTATGGTATCCAAACATAACAAAACTGAAAGGCAAGTATGAGGTAACCCATGATAATCTTGCCAGACTTGGAAATCTTACATTACGGAGAGACACCTGTGCTGTGAAATATATAGGATCCACACTCTTACCTCATTAAGACAGAGCTCTGTATCTACAGATTCATTGGATTTTCGCTTCTTCTGTGCCTATGAACAAATGCAGAATTTATTCCCTGTACAATTTATACATACAGCAGCACAAAACACTTAGATAAATTTACATGGGTTGTCATACTCGTATAATTTCGACAGTGATTTGCACATGATTAACAAATCAACTCTCCAAATGTAACTGCATGTTTTCCAATAACATTCACATTCTCATTTGAATTTACAGCAAAATTTCAAACAGTCAACTAAGGGTACTTATTAATGACAATGATGAGTGCCATCAGCTGCAGAGAACATGTTATCTTCTGTGGCCCCTTAAAAATGGTGTTGGATGTTCATGAGAAGAAATGAAATATGACAGTTAATAATTACCATAATACCACTTCATATTAAAAAATAATCTATCATGTGCCTCAGTTTTAGGAAAATATACAACACAGGAGTATTTTATCCTTAATGATTCTTTTCATTTTTCCAAGTATTACTATAAAAACAGAAATATGATTTTAATATATTTCACGGCTGCCAGAGAGCCTCTTCTACATTACAAAAAGAACATTTAGTGTCTTTTAACATATATACCTCTAAGTCAAATTGAACTGTTTGCTTACATTGTGTTTGCTGATTATCATACATAGAATATTAAACTAAGTGCAGGAATATTTTAGATGATCAAGAATTAAAAAATTAATCTGCTATAAATTCAGCCATGTCATATGATGAACAACCATCTTTTGCTATTACTGTGTGCTCTCCACACTGACTCAAATAAGAAACATTCCAGGTGGCATCATACAAAATGAAAGCAATAATGTGCACTCTGTCTAGTGTCAGAAGCTATTTAATATTTCTAGTATTTCAAGTGAACAGGACTGGGCTGGGAACTTTCTGCTTTTCTACAGAAGCAAGACTAATCCCTGTGCTGTGGAAGATATTTTCAATAAATGGTGCTGTGGTTGACTTAAGCACTTCAGTGATTCTCAATATCAGTTCTTTCTTTGTATATTCCAGAAATATAAACAGCACCCTTTTATAAGAGCTAACGGTGTTCAGCATAAATCAAGTCTTGTAACAGAAGACCTGGATTTACACACCGAAACTACTGACTGCACTGGACACATCTGATACTTCCACCTGGAAGTTTTGCTGGACTTGCATCTTATTTTCTGCAAGAAATGAAGATCTGAATCTCACTGTGTTGTGTTCATTTTACACTGAAGAATCTCTCTGGTTTTGGTACTGATGGACTGGACTAAAGCTGATGTGAGAAAGTGCTGAGCATTTTGATTTTATGCCCCGAAAAAATTAATTTTCACATACAGCTGTTTTATTTTATATCTGAGAGCCACTGGTTCTGCCAATGGACACAAAATAGTCTTTGACCTAATTACTGATTTTAGAATTCAAATGAAGGAACTGAACTTCTCATAAGAAAACACATTCTCTGGTTTTAATGATACATAAATATATTAGAGACAACTGAAAAAGTGAAGCAGTTGGGATTTAAGAGAAAGACAACTTAGCTATAGTAAGAATACATACTGTATATATGTTGATAGTTTTTATACATATGACAAAATAGCTCGATTCATTAACACCCTTCATAAAATTTCTTTTTTTTCTACTAATTAGTACCATTAAAGTGGTTAAGGTAAGCATAAATTTAACGGTCTAAATAGAAGAAGAAACCCCTTGAAGTAAATCTGTAACAAGAGGAAGCATCCCTGTAAAGCCCTCCTGTCGTGTTTGTAGTAGTGGTTGCATTCGCAGTGGTTAGGAAACTTCCTTTAAAATCAGCTGGGTAGATTTCAACTCCTACATGGCTGGGTCCAAGGAGAGGGTTAAAGAAGGAGAAATTATATTTAAATCCTGATTTTCTTACATCCTGAACACCCTGTCTTGAATTGGAATGGGAGGCTTCCGATAAAGCTTCACATTCAGAGGCTCAGATCTTGACAGTGTTAACTGTAAGGATCATACAAGCCTCCTATATCTTGGTTTGTCATTCAGTGCTAAATTTCCAACTCCACACAAGTGTCTGTTCATTGGGAACACTGTGCTTTGCTGCTTATGCCTGCTTTGGATTCATAGCACTGTTTACACATAGTATTTGGTCTCAACACCAAAGTTAGAATTTATATTCCTTTTGTATTGTCTTTATCAAATGAGAAAAGACAGAAATATAATTATTTTGCTTATATGCAGTAAAGTGTTCCTTTACTTCATTCAGCCAGATAAACAATAGAGTGCAGCAGCTAACACATATTTACCTTTGAGAACACTATTTTAAGGGTAAAATCAACAGCTAGAAAAAAAATCACCATAAAAAAAGCTTTTCAATCATTTTGATCAACATTCCCTAGCTTTCGTCTGGAAGGTGATACTTCTCTGTATCCATGTACTTATTGTAGACATTGTAACATCAACAACACTTATTCAATGCATCTTCTATTATAACGACCTCCTCTCTTAGATTTGAAAAGCAATTTTAATAATCAGGCAGGCTTTTCTCTTATCAAAGCAGAAAGGACAATATCTTCTATTTAAAAATACAGCAAAATTGCAACCTTTTTTGGGGGGGAAGGAAAAGGGAAGAAAAAACTGTCATTCTGAGGCTGAGATGAGACATTATCTGCCAAGTTTCAAATTGGAAGAGTACATTTTTAGTGTTGAGTTATAAACCTGTAAAAATGGGTTATAATGGAAATACTGGCATAGGCTGCACTACTGTAACACAACAGTGTATCACTAAATCACAAGTTATGGGAAAAAAAACCCAAACCCACATGTTGAAGAGAGTGCTGTAGAAAGTGTACGTCCCTTACTTACAACCAAAGGGGAAAATTCTTCCTGCCCCACTCTCAGGCAAAAACAACTCTACATGTAGCAGAACTGCCCTATATGTGCTACTCTAAGAGAAAAGCTTATCAGAAGCAAAAACAAAAAATCATGGATTAGAGGTTATGCTGACAGCCTTAAGGGAAATACATCCAGACTAGGAGACATGCACTTGAATAACAGAGGATATGCTCGGCTGTTGGATTATTTACTTTATAACATCTTCCATTGTCTTAAAAAATTTAAACAATAGAAATGACTGTCCCTCACACACAGCTGCAGACAGTTCTGACAAGGAATATCTACATCACCAATAAATTTGGGAAATGAGTTGTATGCTCTGCAAGATGCCAAAGATTCACTGCCAATCCCCATCGCAGGTATCCTACTTGTCTAACAAGCAGGCAAGAAGGTACCTTGAAGGTTCTACAAGTACCTAACTCCCCAGGAGTAAAACAGCACACACAAATGGCTAAGTTGCCTGTATTCAAACTTGTATTTTTTTGAATTTTCATATAAAGCTGTTATCTGGTGACAAAAAGATCTATGGGGATTCCATCATTAAATAAAAAAAAAAACAAAACAAGAAGTGCTGGGCTGATAATAATAATTAAAAAAAAAAAACAGTGAAAGAAAATCAGCTTTAAGTGGCTAAGTGTACAGAAGGAGCTATGAGTTCTTTTCTACTGAGGTAAAACAGCATTTCCTAATGACTTATATCCTGAGCTGTGACGTGCCTCAGACTATAAAACAAAGTTATGTAAGATGGGCTGACACCCCAGCTTTGCAGGGAAGTATAATTCAGCAATGTGAGCTACTCTGGTGAAGCTGGTTCCATACTGCCAACAGGCTTGAACTCACCAAAGCTTTTATATTTTGTAAAAACAAATACCTGCTTTTCCAGAGAATCTTCTCACTGTAGTAGCAGAAGCAACAGATGATATTTAGAGATAACTGTATTCATGCACCTCCTGATGTATTCAGTATCCTGTCTGTTAGTCACACACCAGCCTTTTGGTCTTGCAATCTTTAGCTTTTAATATTAGAACTAAAATATTAAAATATTAGACTTGGTCAAGGGCTGGTAGAGAAAAAAACTGCATGTCCAGAAAACAAAAAATCTCTCATGATGAGAGGCAAAATTTTACTTATTTTTTTCCTAGAAAGAAAGGTAAATCGGGACCAGCAGAAGAGCTAGTGGTTTTCTGAAAGGAGAAAGGAATATTGCTTATAGAGATGTTTCTCCTTCAGAAGACTCTGTGGACCTCTGTATTTCCTTCTGATCCCAATGCATCACAGATGAGTTAAATCATATGTCCTTGCTCATACACACCCTAACTAGTCTTCTCCTGCCCTCCACCTAATAACTATCATAGGATTCTCCTAAACCTTGTAACTCCCTGCTTTCCATCCCCCAAATCCCTCTACCTCCATCCTTTGCATCCTATAGCCCTGAATTTATGCCCAGAAATGCTATCTTGTAATTATGCATCCAGCTTCTGCAAATCACAGCACTACATGGTTAATAAATGCATTAAACACTGCAGCAGTACCTCACCAGGAGTCTGTACACACATTTATGGCTTGTCATCCAGTAGTATTTTTATATATCCACTACAGCATGAATTTCTCTGTTACAGCAAGAAAAAGGTCTGACTGGGGATGGCTCCAAATGGAGGTGAGCTTTAATTTGGAGGGAGGGAAGGGAAGGAGAACGACAACAGAATACATTGGATCTGAATACAAACAGGCACAAGAGAGAGCATCCAAATTTAAAAACCAGTCTCCTTCCTTTGGTACACACTTTGAGTCTTATGTGCTTTATGGGAAGTATTGCTTAGACGTTACAGGGAGAGACAACAGAAGCATCATTATGACAGATATGTGCTTTGTAGGTTGTTTTTACAGCTGATTTTAATGAGAGTGCCTTTGTCCTCTCCTGAGATGCCTGGTTAGTTATGCCCATATTAACAAGCTTTTCTAAAGAAAAGGGACAAATCTCCCAGAACACATCCTTCAAATGACCACGCTTCTAAAGTAGCTATAACAAATGAGGGTGATTGTTCTTTTTGTTCTTCTCCTGTGTTGATTAGAGAGATTTACTATGCAACTAACCTGCTTTTCCAACAGAACACAAACAATAAGCAGAATAATACACAGACTGTAAGAATGCAATCATTTTAACTCTTCTGAACACA